CTCTGGTCCATGCCCTCCCCGCTCGCCCTCCTCCCACCCTCCCCACCCTGGCCCTGGCTTTGAGGGCAGGCGGGTCTAGGGGCTCTCTCCCATAGGGTTGGGGCTGAGGCTCAGTGTGTCCACACTGCACACCACACCCAGGGCTTTGTGCCAGGTTCAGGGAAGGAAGTGGACAGTCATTCAATGTCCTGCCCTCCCTCAGGTTCCAGGGTGCTGTGCTACTCTGCCAGGTGAGAGGGGCCGGGGCAGGGCCATGGCAGCCTTAGGGTAACCCGTCTCCTCAGGAGGAAACGCCCGGCTCCTCAAAGGAAGGAATCAAGTCACCATCGAACGGCACAAATCTGGAAGGTCACGGAGGCCAAGGCCCCTGATTTTCAGACTCGGAAGCTGAGACCCAGCGGGGTGAGTGATTTGCTCAAGGGGTCACATCTCAACCTGACTCTGCAGCAGAAGACACCGCACCGAGCCACGTCCCTGTCTCAGACCATAGGCTCCCAGGATGGAGAAAAACTCCAGTCAGTCCAACCTCCTGGCTCCAAGCTACTCCCCAACCAGGCTTGACAAGAGAGTGACGTGGCTATGGAAAGCCTCTGGCTACTGGGAATGCCTCCTGCTCTTCCCCACGTCACAGGTGTCACCAAACAGTGATTGTCTGTGGTCTCGGCGACAGTCAGCGACTGCAGGAAGGGAGCGAGCAGGATTAGGAGTGATTTTTTTTTTTGCTCTATTGTCTTTAACGTTTATGATCTATGCATCCATTTTCCATCATTCCGAATTCTGCCATTTCTACAGACTTTCTCCCTCATATGGATTCAAAATGGTAAAATCATCTATGACCTTTCATACCTCTTTCCTTAACTCTCCACCTCATTATTCAATCAAAAGCCGAGGGCTATGTTATTGATCCCACCTTGAAAACTCCTTCGCATACTGCCTTAGTCTTCTCGAGCTGAACAGAACAGACATTTATTTTCTCCCAGTTCTGGAGGCGAGAAGTTCATGATCAAGGTGCTGGCAAATGCAGTTTCTGGTGAGGCCTCTCTTCCTGGCTTATAGACATCTGCCTTCTCACTGGTCCTCATGTAGCCTCTCCTCTGTGCACTTCAGGTGGGGAGTGTGTGTGTGGAGAGAATGAGAGAGAGAGAGAGAGAGAGAGAGAGAGAGGGGGAGAGAGAGGTGGAGTGGTGGAGTGTGAGTGTTCTCTGATGTCTCATAAACACTCCAATCTTCACGGATTAGGGCCTCACCCTTATGACTTCATTTAACCCTAATCATTAACTAAAGGCCCTACCAAATATTGGATGTTTGGGCTTCAGTTTATGAATTTGGAGGGGACACAATTCAGTCCATAGCCCATACATGACCTTGTCATTAGATCCTCACGGGCTATTGAGATGCAGTCCCTTCCTACCTGGACAGTCGCAATGGTCTGTCCAAAGCAGACATCCCAGCAGCCCCGGAAGCTCCCTAACTCAGACCCATTGCTCACAACGCAACTGGCAAAAGAGAGTCAGAAAGCTTCAGGGCCTCTTCCCTGGCTGGTGACACCTTCCCTTCCTGGGAGCATGGGATTTGCAATGGTCATATCTGGGCTCAAACCATGCTCCACCCCCTAACAGTCATGACCCTGAGCAACTAAGTCAGTAAATCTCCTGCACCTCCACTTCCCCTGCTGTAAAATGAGCATGACAGGCGGTACTGTATGCAGATGTTAGGCACAGAGAGGGTGGGCATAGTCACCCCGTGTGAGTTCCCTTTCCTTTAGGGTGACATTTAGGGTGTCCACATCTGATTCCAACCCATATCTCCAGCCTATTTTCCACCACTCCGCATGTGAAATCCACGGAATCCACAAGCCAACTCAATGAGTCGTCCCCGCCTTGTCCCTGCCTCTGATTATCCCTCGCTCTCCTGCGAGGAATAGCCTCTCCACTAATCGGAATCATTATTAACATCGAGGTGGAGAGGACTGGCTCAGACACACCTGGTTTGGAATTGTAACCTTTCTGAACCGCAGTTACTCCACTTGTGAAGAGAGCGGATGCTCTGGCTCAATGAGAGAAGCTTTGTCAAGTTCTCAGCAGGGTGTGGGAGCCCAGGTTTGTCCCTGAGCACTGACTGCTGAGTTGCCAAGTTCGCACAGAAAATGCCAGCGATGGTGTTTTCCAAAGTCTCTTGTAGAGAGTATTCTACAAGATCGTGGTCGGTGTGACCCGGAAGAAGGTTGTGGTACTGGATATAAAAGGGGATTACAGGTCCAACAGAGCTAACAAGTTTATTGACTATGGGGCTTTTCCAAGTCTTTAATTGCCAATGTTTATTGTAATTTTCTCAGAAGTGACAATAATTTACGTCATTTTCCAAACCGGTTAGCCACAGAATCCTTTTTTTTAAAAATTCTTTATTGTTTAAAATATTACATATGTCTCCTTTTTCCCCATTGACCTCTCCCCGGCCACAGAATCCTTTTTCAAACAAATATATCTTTATTGATTTCAGAGAGGAAGGGAGAGGGAGAGAAAGATAGAAATGTCAGTGATGAGAGAGAATTGTTGATTGGCTGCCTCCTGCATGATCCGGGATTGAGCCTGCAACCCGGACGTATGCCCTGACTGGGAATCGAACTGTGACCTCCTGGTTCATAGGTTGATGCTCAACCACTGAGCCACTGTGGCCAGGCCAGAATTTTTTTTTAATTGCCCCACCCCACCCCACTAGGCTTAAGTGTTGTACAAAAGTCATTTGGGAAATAATAGTTTAAGTAAACCTGAGAATAAAAGTTAATAGCTCATTCAATATTTGCTTTCCTTTTAGCTGGAACCAACATATGTTAGAACTTGACATTTCTGATAGCCATGAGGCTGGGAGCGAAACATTTATTTAGTTTTGATTTTATGAAGTTTAACTGACCTGCTGGCTAGTCAACAGAGTAAAAGTCACAGCTCGAAGTCGAAGCATGCAAGTCCCAGTTCTTTCTTCAATGTGCAAGCCTACCCTTCATCATCTCCTTAGGGTGTCTCTGAGCACCCAGCCCTCAGCCATCGTACCTGCCCCAGACTTCATGAAGTACTCACTGTTTGAACTTCTCCTGTGACATTTAACTTGTCCTGTTCGTCCTGTCTTGTTCTGTTTGTGTACATGACTTTGGTTATTCATGATGGGCCTCTCAGACCACACCTGTGTTTGTGTGAATGAGGTGACTCTGAATACGGATTGTCCATGCAAGAAAGATCAATCACATGTTAGAAATTTGAGACTTTGAGCCACATAATATCCTGGCCGTCTGATTTCTGGGGAGAAGAAAGGGACTGGAAATTGAGTCACAGGCCAATGATTCAACGAATCAGGCTTATATAATGAAGCCTCACTAAAAGCCACGGACTCCAAAGCTTGGTGAGTCTCCCTGGTTGGTAATACTCCATCCATTGTTGCATCAGTGTGCTGACCGCCGGATGCATTCTGACTCCACAGGGAGAGGACGGGACACCTCACACTTGGGACCTCCCAGACCGCGCCCCCTCTGCATCTCTTCTTTCAGCCGGTTCTGATTTGTGTCCTTTGGTTATCATGAAATCGTAATCCTAAGTATAGAGCGTTCCTGAACCATGTGAATGGTTCTAATGAATTATTGAACCTGAGTGGGGAGTGGGCCCCTTCAAATCTGTAGCCAGTTAGTCAGAAGTGAGGGTGTCTGAATTGAGGGCAGTTGTGTGCCCTTAACCTGTAGAGTATGGCCTAACTCCGGGTAGTTGGTGTCAGAAGTCACTGCAATTATGCTGAGTGAAAGAAGTCGGACATAGAGGAGTACATATGATAGTCTCTAAAAATGCAGACACGGTCGACAAAAGGAGGTTTACAGTTGTTCATATGGAAACAGACGTGCAGGCTCTGATTATCACAACTGTAAATCTACTTGTGCCCACCCCTGTATAGTGACAGAAAGTAGACCTTAAAAAGCAGTGCTGTCTAAGACCAGGTAGAGTGAGGGAGAAAGGAGGGATTGCGAAGGGGCAGGAGGAAATTTGGGGTGGGGGGTTGTCTACATGTTCACTATGTTGATCGTGGTGTTGATTTCAAAGGTGTATATATATTAAAAACGTATCAAATTGTACAATTTAAATGTGTGCAGTTTATTACATGTCAATTAATACATCAATAAAGCTAGTGTTGTGTTTTTTTTTAAAAGAAAGCTCAGCACGATCCTCACCTATCATGACCCTGTCCAGAACCTTCCATGGTTTACCTGGAGGTGTATATATATTAAAAACTTATCAAATTGTACAATTTAAATGTGTGCTGTTTCTTACATGTCAATTAATACATCAGTAAAGCTAGTGGTGTGTGTTTTTTAAAGAAAGCTCAGCACGGTCCTCATCTATCATGACCCTGTCCAGAACCTTCCATGGTTTACCTAAAATCTACCGAATCAAAACCTTCCTTGATCTGGTCCTAAGCCATCTTTCCAGTCTTGATATTTCTTGCTATTCTCCAAGAAGACCCCGTATTTGCCACCTTTGTAACATTGCTCATGCTCTTCCCTCTGCCTGGAATGCCCTTCCCCGAGTTACCACCCTCTCTCTACTGATTAGCTTTCCTGTACTTTAAGCTTAGCTGAAATGTAATGCCACAAAATCTTCCTTGACTTCTTGAGTCAGAAATGATCTGTTTCTTCCCTAAACTCCTGTACTGCTTTGTGTGTGTGTGTGTGTGTGTGTGTGTGTGTGTGTGTGTGTGTGTGGCATTTTTCAGTGTCTTGTGCTTCCTATGTATGTGTGTACGTACAGAAGTAAATCTCCCACGTGGCCGGTGTGGCTCAGTGGTTGAGCATTGACCTATGAACCAGGTCACGGTTCGATTCCAGGTCAGGGGTGCTGGGGTTTCTGACTCGATCCCCAGGAGGGGGCATGCAGGAGGCAGCCCATCAATGATTCTCTCTCATCATTGATGTTTCTATCTCTTTCTCTCTCTGAAATCAATAAAAAAAATATTTTTTAAAAAAGAAGTAAATCTCCCAGAAAATCTTGAGGGTAGGAGGTTATGTGTTTTATTCATTCTTGTATTTTCCATGACAAGTAGCATAATTCTTTACAAACAGAGGCTAGTCAAATAATAAATAGCCAGAAACACAAATTTCTCAGCATGTTTAGATCCTTAAACCATGATATCACTGTTTCCTTTCAGCTCTTCCTCCTCCTCCACCTTGTGCTCCTCTTTCTCCTCCTTTTCCTCTTCTTCCTGCAGAACCACACTCACCTTCTCAGCTCTTTCCTTATGCCAGCGCTTGTTCCTCACCCTCTTGCTTATGTTAGGAACACACATGTGCTTGCATTTTGGTATTACTGTATGTTCTGTCTACACAGTGAATGCTATCTCTACCCAGTAGATTTCAAGTGATAGCCGCCTTAAACCTTAATATTTAATGTTCCATCTTTTGTCCAATTTCTTGGCCACAGAGCAGAGATGACAGTTCCAGGCTTTGACCCCAGGCTGGCTCAGAAGCCCCGCTCTGCCACCTACTAGCTGTGTGTCCTCAAGCCAGTTACTTAGCGGTCAGCTTTGTCATCTGGAAATTGGATATGGTAATAATGGCTTCCAGCTAAGGTGCTTTAGGACTAAAGGAGCGACACCTGTGAAGTGTTTAGAACAGTGTCTACATAGAGTAACACTCAGTGGCTACTGTTCTTTTCACTTCGGGCTAAGAAGCATTCAGCAAAGGAGTGGCACGCAGGGCGTGGTTAGCCACAGACTCGCTTGGAGTTTGCATCGCTGGGGGATTCTGGGCCCCACCTGAGAGATTCCAATGGCGCCCAGGAACCTGTCTTTTTGGATATGCTCCTCAGGTGACTTGGGTGGCCAGGCAGGCGTGGAACTGCTGGCGCAGCAGAAAACGCACTAAATTTGGGGTAAAGGAGATCAGGGCTCTGGTGGTGTTTTTGCCTGTGACCCACTGTGTGACTTTTCCAAGACTCCATTTTCTTTTTGTAAAATGCAGCGAACAAATTTGCGTTATTCCTAGGGTTGCGGTGGGAGGTCTAGCTGCTAAGGGCATTTCTGTGGGAAGCAGGCTTGCTGTGCAGAAAGAACGCAGGCTTTGGAACGAGACAGGCCTGAATGTGAGCTCCGCTTCTGGCGCTGGGCTAGGCAGTGCCAGCCCCTCTTTCTCACAGGACCCTGATTTTGCTTGGGGTGTAAATGTGCCCACTGGAAAACACTCCACCTCCCAGATGCCTTTGCAATTCAGGGTGGCCACGTGAGCAGACGGAGGCTATGAATTTCAGAGAAGTTTCTTGTTTTCCTGACCTAGGCATTCAATCCTCTCGCTCCCTGGAGCATGGATGAGAGGCCTGCAGTTGCAGAGCCATCGTGTAATGAGTGAACAATATGGGAGGGAGGCCTATAAGCTGAGGATGATGAAGTAAAGAGATGAAAAGATTTGGGTCCCCGGTGGCATCTCGAAGCGGTTGTACTAGCTCTGGACTGCCTACCCCTAGACTTCTTATGTAAGACAAATGAATCCCTAATTACTAGTATTGAAGGTAGAGGTTATTTTTTGTTGGTTATTTGAACCCTTAGGAACTTTTAAAAGAACAAAGTTGCTAGAACCATGACTAACCCATTGGACATTCTGGGTGTGTCCCTTTCCCCAGCTATGAGACATTTTCTGTGTTTGAGGCCCCTTCTAAACCCAATATCCTACACTCAACTGGTTATAAGATAGAAGACTTGGGCTCTGGGGGCTGGTCCCTGGAATAAAGGACCCTTTTCTGGGATGTGGGGAGGGTTTGCAAAAGCGCCCAACCAAGTGATTAGGCACAGGTGCCATGTGGACTACCCGTGGCACCTGAACCCTACAGAGGCCGCCGCACACTAATCAAAGCAGAGGTGAGGGGAGTGTGTAAAATGCGAGTCCAAAGGACATGACATTGCCTTTGCTCTGACATAAGAATGTAAGGCAGTTCTAAGGATTCTATTCCAGGTGACACTCACATTTGAGAGTAAGAATGAAAACTCATGAACTCCCACCCCCTCTCCCCTGGACATATTACATCTCCATCATCTTCTCTAATTGGAAACTTAAGTACCAGGGTATGAGTGTGGGCACCCGTGTATCAGTGGGGAGAGAGAGAGTTCTGGTTTTCATGACAACTCTTACCTGCCCAGGCGTGGCTTTAATAGGATCAGGCGCAGGCCCTTTAGGACCCACAGGAACGCACAGGACTCATCAAAGCCAGCTGCTCCCTCTGCTGCCGGAATCCTGCAGGCCCCATGGTCACCCTGGCGCGGCCATTTGATCCCAGCGCTCCCGCCATGGCCGGATTCAGCAGCACAGGATCCATACTAGTAAAGCTCTGGCAAACCTCATAGACCAAAAGGCAGTGACCACAGAGGGAACTTTGTTTTTTTAGCAAATGTTTTCTTTCCTCCATGACTTTTTACAAAATTGAGCTGCAATCCGACAAGGAGAGGAACCCGTGGGGCTTCCGCATCGACGTGCCCTCTCTCTCCCGAGGCCCATGGGGCCCCGGGCAGGAGGCGGGGACTCTGTCCTCAGCAGGCTGAGTTCTGTCCAGTCCTTTGGCTCCTTCCCAGACTGGCCTTCACAAGACAGTCCTGTTCCGTCCCCTGCTCAGAGTCGCTCGTGTCACTTGCCTCCACGACCAGCAGCTTTGAGTAGCTGACTCTCGGCTCCTGGGGCAGCCTGGGCCGGACAGACAGGAAGAGGGCCAGCCAGAGCCCCAGGACGGTGCAGCCGGCCTGGTAGAGCACCGCCAGGCTGAAGTGCCTCGCCACGAAGCCCCCCACGAAGCTGCCCAGGCTGGCCCCGCCCCCATAGAAGTGGCCTCGGAACATGGCACTCAGAGGTCTCTCCATTCCGGGGGTGGCCAGGTCCTCTAGGGAGGCGCCCACCGCCCACCACAGAGCCCCGTGGCTGACGGCACTCAAGACCTGCACCGGGAGGATGGACCACCAGCTCCAGAGGAAGGAGTAGTACAGCAGCTGCCCGGAGAGGCAGCCCAGCCCCAGCCCTAGGGTTCCCAGTCTGGACAGTTTTCTAAGCAACGTGGCCCTGAATGGGTGGAGGAGAACCTCCCCCAGCAAGCCCAGGGCCACGGAGAAGCCCATCACCAGCTCGCTGCTGCCGTGGTCCTGCATGTGCCAGAACAGAAAGTTCTGGGTGGTGCTGGTGACGGCTCCGGTCAGAAAGACAGTGATGGCCAGGAGGAGGAGGCGGGGGTCGCCCTCCACCAGAGACAGCGCTTTGCTGGTTTTGCAGCTGGGCTCCCGCCGCCTGCACAGGGGGACAGGGAAAACAGTGCTCACAGGCAGAGCCAGGACGCTGACCAGCGCATAGCCGTAGAAGGACACCACCCCCCGGGGGCCGCTGGCCTGCAGGGAGCAGTCCAGCTGCTCCACCAAGGCTGCGATGCCGCACACGCCCGCCACCGTGCCCAGCAGCTTCCAGGCCCAAAGGGTTCTGTGCCGGTCGGTGGCGTCCACAACATCCAGGTACTCAAACAGGCTGTCGTCCGCCACCTGCTCCAGAGGGGCCGCCAGCAGCTCCCAGAACACCAAGGACACCAAGCAGGGAAGGAAAGTCCGCAGCAACCCTTGCAGGGACAGGCCCAGGGTCCCCGAGTCCCCCCTGGTCGCGGACACGTTGGCTGGACTCGCCAGCGCTGTACCCCTGGCCAGCGAAGGGAGGGCGGTGCTGACCACCTTCAAGGCACCTTCTTCCCAGGGCGCCTCTTCCCTCCCTGCAGCGCCAGGATGGAGGACTTCGGACGCGGTCCAGGCTCCTTCCCCGGAGCCCACCAAGTTTCTGGGCAGATGCCGGGAAGGCTCTTGGGCACTTTCCAGGAGTCCTTTCCTGAAGCTGGAGGCGTGGCTGATCCCTGCACCGCTCTCGGCTGGGAGGTCTGAGCCGGGCTCCTGGGTCAGGGTGACGTTCACAGCCAGTGCCCCCTCGGGTGGCGGGACTGCGGGGGTCAGGCTGGGGCCGGCGTGGCAGGAGCGGGGCCCCAGGTCTGCGT